CCCCCCCGGACCCTCTCCTTAGAAATGAATCCACTCCGAGCAAGGGCTAGCTACGTCCCTGATACTAAACCCCAGCACACCCGCACGCATCGCATGGAGACACTTGGTAGTTAATCATAGGTGTTGATATGACGATAAACCTTATCAAACAAACTAAAAACTGAACTAGGAAAAAATCTGACATATTTTATTTTCGGTTCCAAACCTGTGGTCACTCCTCTCTTAAAGAAGGGAGATCGAGGGTTTGCCTCAAACTATCGTACAGCATCTCTGACCTCCATCAAATGCAAGATCATGGAGCATATACTTCACAGTAATATCATTGGTTATCTCGAAAATCGGAATATATCATCATCCCTCCAGGATGGATTCCGAAAAGCACGACAATGTGAAAGCCAACTTATCCTCACACTGCAGGACTTAACACTGGGTAAAAGTAAGGTCCCTCACCAGAGGCTCTTGAGAAAGTGCGACTACTATGGAATAAGAGGTAACTCACTACTATGGATTGCCAGCTTCCTGCAACACCGAAAACCATAAGTGGTGGTGGATGTGGGGAAAATAAGAGAGGACAGACCTAACATCTGAAGTCCTCAAGGAACAGCCATGGGACATCTGCTTTTTCTTTCTCATCTACATCGACGACCTGCCTGAAAGTGTAAGTAACATCAACAGCCAGACTGTTTGCAGACGTACACATGTAGAGTCAAATATCCTACAGAACGACCTCGACACCATGCTGCAGTGGAAGCGTAAATGTCTGATGCCATTAGATCCTGATAAATGTGAGGTACTACGGGTCACCAACAGAAGGAAGCCACTAATTGCCACCTACAGCATCCATGGGACTCCACTTGCCACAAGACAGCTTAGTACCTGGAGTAAACATCAGTGACAACCTCACCTGTTCCAATCACATAGGTACAGTTTTAATGAGAATGAACACCTAAGATCAAGGAGCAGTGCTATAGAACGCTGGTTAGGCCTATCATGGAATATGCGAGCGTTGTATGGGATCCAAATTTACAAAAGGACATCCGACATTATACTGCGGCCTCGGGAAACAGTTCATCTGGAGGGTCCCAACTCCTCGGGAAAATAGTTTTGACTGTTGACTGATAAGGCATGAAACAACTGTTTTGTTACTTGACCAATGAAAAACCAAAAAGTCCTATGTCAAGTTGCACGTGGCCAGTCAACAGTTTCACGTGACCAGTCAGTCAACAGTTTCACGTGTCCAGTCAACAGTTTTACGGTAGCACACATTAGCTATAGTTCGTTTGGTGAATTGTCTAGGAAACAGTCGAAATTGATTAATATGCATTTGTATAGCGAGTCAGGTAACAAATTGAGATGGTGCAGAGACGGGCAGCACGTTTCGTCATTGGAGACTAATACTGAGATAACTTCAATGGACCACCTTAGAAAAACGGAGAACGCGAGCAAATGTCATCATGGTCTACTACAATCTGTTGTGGCTGATTGACACCTTATCGTTTCTTTTGACCCTTGTTACGTAAAAAGTGAAGTTGAAACCTGGACTATGAAAGTGGTCAAGGTCAATCATCTGAACAAACTTGATACCCCGAAGACGCCTATAGACTGCTGTATATACCCACATGCCGGGATGTAATTAAAATCTATCATATGACCATTTCCGTATCCTACCCAGTATCAAATCGAGATCATATCAGCCGGAGGGGCCGGAGGTGCAAAGGCTGATAATGCTGAGGGTTATTACGAGGTTGATATTACTGAGTGTTGTTTCGAGTTGGGGTATGGAAATGGTTATGGTATAACTTTTTATATTATAAACTCCATATTATTAACGTTTATAATTTTATATACAGCATCACAATTATTGCTAATAATACAAAAGGAGTGATATATTGCAGCGTGCTTAACCGGAAGTGAAACGGATATGGTGCTTGCCGGGCAGATATGGCACGTGCTGGGTTAGATGTGGCGCGTGCTGGTCAGATATAAGTCGGTACTAGATAAGGATTATGGGCAGTTACGTGTTTTCTCGAGCAAAACAACCAATCTCACGGACAACTATATAGCCTACACAATCTCGTCTATTCCACATGTTGTGGTATAAAGAAACACTTAACAGATGCATTGTTCGTGCAATTAAGTCATAATCGTTGTCTATCAACAAATCAATATCCATGAGCGACTCTGAGGGAATGTTAGAAAGCCATCAAGTACTGCCTTAAACGACCCTCGGTTCACGCCACATCTTCAACCGTCTTAGCGTAATTGGAAATTGATACAGACACAGAAAAAAACCCGGATTGCATTCCGTATAAAGATAATAATCCGCTTTATATGTTATTCTGTCTAATAAAGAAACGAAGGAGAGTGACAAATGTTCTGTCCAGGGAACCATGGAAACAATGCTGAGGCAAATAGAAATGAAATCAAAACATTTGGAACAAATTCAGTAACTCAATATGTGAGTTTTTCTTTCGAAATTAGTTTAAATTTTAATCACTTCCATTGCACCATAATTTATTGTATAGATATAAATCACGGTCTGCACCATCGCCCATACCGGTACGCTTTCCCTAGGATGTTCATCAGAGAAAATCTGCGGACACGATCGTAATTACAGGATCCCTTAAGTTAGTTGTCGAAAAATTGTTACCTATCACAAAGATGTATGGTACGTTATTATTACAGCGTTTATGTCCTCTGGTGTAAAACAAAAAGAATGAAAAATGAGACAAAGTCTTTTAATCATAGAGTACTACACTTGTATGTAGAGAAATCAGCATTCTCAGACGCGGGTGGTGAGGTTATGGCCGGTGTGACTTGTACAAATAAACATTTACATATGGTAGCAATAATAGGTCCGTGATATAATCGCTTAAAGGTGTGTCTGACCAGGAACAGATACCAATACATAAGTCTCTTCAGTTAGAGTGTGTGTGGTACGTATGTATATCACTGGTAAGACCATCCCTCTAGTCAGTACTCATCCTCGGGATTCAAGGGCTACGTACATCACTGGTAAGACCATTCCTCTAGTCAGTACACAGCCTTGGGATTCAAGGGCTACGTACATCACTGGTAAGACCATCCCTCTAGTCAGACTCAGCCTTGGGGTTCTAGGGGTTACGTACATCACTGGTAAGGCCATCCCTCTAGTTAGTACTCAGCCTTGGGATTCTAGCGTTACGTACATCACTGGTAAGACCATCCCTATAGTCAGTACTCAGCCCTGGGATTCAAGGGCTACGTACATCACTGGTAAGACCATTCCTCTAGTCAGACTCAGCCTTGGGGTTCTAGGGGTTACGTACATCACTGGCAAGACCATCCCTCTAGTCAGTACTCAGCCTCGGGATTATAGGGGTTACGTTCATCACTGGTAAGACCATCCCTCTAGTCAGTACTCATCCTCGGGATTCTATCGTTACGAACATCACTTGAAAGACCATCCCTCTAGTCAGTACTCAGCCTTGGGCTTCTAGGGCTACGTTCATCCTTGGTAAGACCATCCCTCTAGACAGTACTCAGTCTTGGGATTCTATCGTTACGTACATCACTGGTAAGACCATCCCTCTAGTCAGTACTCAGCCTTTGGATTCAAGAGTTACGTACATCACTGGTTAGACCATCCCTCTAGTCAGTACTCAGCCTTGGGATTCTAGCGTTACGTACATCACTGGTAAGACCATCCCTAAAGTCAGTACTCAGCCTTGGGATTCTAGGGGGTACGTAATCACTGGTAAGATCATCCCTTTAGTCAGTATTCAGCCTTGGGATTCAAGGGCTACGTACATCACTGGTAATACCATCCCTCTAGTCAGAACTCAGCCTTGGGCTTCTAGCGTTACGTACATCACTGGTAAGACCATCCCTCTAGTCAGTACTCAGCCTTGGGATTCTATGGGTTACGTAATCACTGGCAAGACCATCCCTTTAGTCAGTATTCAGCCTTGGGATTCTAGCATTACGTACATCACAGGTGTAGACCATCCCTCTAGTCAGTACTCAGCTTTTGGGTTCTAGGGTTACAAACATCACTGGTGAGACCATCCCTCTAGTCAGTACTCAGCCTTTGGATTCTAGAGATACGTACACAACTGGTAAGACCATCCCTCTAGTCAGAACTCAGCCTTGGGATTCAAGGGCTACGTACATCACTGGTAAGACCATCCCTCTAGTCAGTACTCAGCCTTTGGATTCTAGAGATATGTACACAACTGGTAAGACCATCCCTCTAGTCAGAACACAGCCTTGGGATTCAAGGGCTACGTACATCACTCGTAAGACCATCCCTCTAGTCAGAACTCAGTCTTAGGATTCAAGGGCTACGTACATCACTGGTAAGACCATCCCTCTAGTCAGTACTCAGCCTTTGGATTCTAGAGATACGTACACAACTGGTAAGACCATCCCTCTAGTCAGAACTAAGCCTTGGGATTCTAGGGCTACGTACATCACTGGTAAGACCATCCCTTTAGTCAGTACTCAGCCTTTGGATTCTAGAGGTACGTACATCATTGGTTAGACCATCCCTCTAGTCAGTACTCAGTCTTGGGATTCTAGGGTTACGTTCTTCACTGGTAAGACTTCCCTCTACTCAGTAGTTATCCTTGGAATTCGTGGGTTGCGTACATCACTGGTAAGGGGAGTTAACTCCAGCGTAACCCTTACTTTACAATACAATTTATCTTTTGAATTTCTGTTTGTATATTGTCAAATAACATGTACGTTACTTTGTCAATCTTCAATGAATGCATATATGTATTGTTCTGTTTGTGAATCTTCGATTCGGAGGAAATAAAGAGAATAATAATACACAATCGATCATAAGATAAAGTAATTAATTTCCGACGCCGTTAAAACGAATTGTAATGACCAAATTCCAACGGCCGATACTTCTCTTTTTTTATTATAACAGCTATAATTGCGTGAAAATTACGGAAACAATTTCTGTTTCAGTGCTCTTTTATTGGTTCAGATAATATCGGGAATGTCAAGTGTCAGTGACATAGCAGTATGATTTGGACTATTACATTAAAATGCAAAATATACATATTACTTAACTTCTTCATATTCAATATAGCTAGCTTTTGGGATGTACGAAACACATGCAGAGACCTAACTTATGTTACAGTATAATAGGCATGTTTGTATCCATCCTGATATGTAGAGGGTGGTATCAGACGTTTGAACAGGCCCCCGTCTCAAGAATATTGAATAATTTTGATCACTTGGATGTCTGATTCTGATATACTGATAAGTCGCAAGACTTAAAGTTAATAAAAATTGAACTTGAACTTGATCCTAGAAACCCTAAGTTTTAAACTAGCAGTAAAATGCAGTTGAGAAATTCTTCATAAAAACTTAGGGGCTGGTATCCAGTCTAGAGCTACCCATATCAACACAGACGTTATATAGTATACGTCTCTGATATCAACAAGATAAAAAGATACCTGACCGTATATCGTATCGGGCGCGTTTAACTTCGTATAGCCTATATTTCAAAATTATCTGTTCGCGAACAATTAAGTGGTGAAACTGGACATTTGGAATGCACAATGAATATGGGGATAGCAAGAAAACATAATTGGCAGTACATTCAATTTTTTAAATTTTGGTTCATATATGAGGAAAGGCACACCAACAAACGTTTTCTAGAAAATATTTTAATCTGTTACCATGGTAAACGCTCACTAAATGTAAACATGGTGGGTAGTTTAAACATGCATGTTCTTAATTTTCTACCCCAGCTACATACCGCCTGCTCGTTGTTGATCGTACCACCGATAAAAGGATAAACACGTTGCTACGGTATATTTGAAGAGCGCGTCTCTGCATGCACGCGCGATCCGTCAAATGGTTTATCGATCGATAATGGAAGCTGCGGCAGCGCCCCCTGTTTAGGAACGATACAGAGGCTGGCTCTGACAGCCAACATGGAGACGAAGACATAACACAGATCGGTAAGTAAGCCTCGATTGATGATTTGTAGACACGGACATGTTGGGTTAAAAAGACACATGTATATCGAGAAGAGGACTAGTACATTGTTTTTTAAGTCTATATTGTTAGTATTGGTGATTCGCTTCTTACAGGAGTACATGTACAGCTAGAGATTGACACGGATTGGTAAACCAGGTGCGGTCGGTATTACAGTTTACGGCTTTCTGTTTTCTGTTGCGTTTGACAGATTTATTTTGTATTGATATATGAGTCACCGTTTTCCGTTTTCATTGGCAAAATAAATAAATGTTCACATATCGATTGCTGAATTTAGTTTTGCTGTTTCTAAAAGTAAGATTTCTTAGAAATATATTGGATGAGATAAGACAAGATATATTTTCAGTCCGTATTTAAATAAAAGGTAAGTTTACGTTGCTTTCTTACCACTAGACAACTTACTTTATGCAATAATTCATGTTCCCGTTGTAGTTTTTAAATGATATAATACATTCTTATTAAGAATACATTATTAAAGTTTTAAGATAGTATGCAGTTTATGTAGGATACAATGTATAGTTTATGAAGAATACAATGTACAATTGAAGTTTATGAAGGATACAATGTATAGTAGATGAAGAATACAATGTACAATGTAGTTTATGAAGGATACAATGTATAGTTGATGAAGAATACAATGTACAATGTAGTTTATGAAGGATACAATGTACAATGTATAGTTGATGAAGGATACAGTGTACAGTGTAGTTTTATGAAGAATACAATGTACAGTGTAATTTTATGAATAATACAATGTACAGTGAAGTTTTATGAAGGATACAATGTACAGTGTAGTTTTATGAAGAATACAATGTACAGTGTAGTTTGTGAAGGATACAAAATGCAATGTAGTTTATGAAGAATACAAAGTACAATGTAGTTTATGAAGAATGCAATGTACAGTGTAGTTTATGAAGAATACAAAGTACAATGTAGTTTATGAAGAATACAATGTACAGTGTAGTTTATGAAGAATGCAAAGTACAATGTAGTTTATGAAGAATACAATGTACAGTGTAGTTCATGAAGGATACAATGTATTTTTGTAATATGTCTTTGAAGTTTACATCAATTTAAAGAAGCATACTATAATTTTAAAAAGTGAACAGTAGTTTTATAAATTATACAATAGTTCTACAAAGGAGACAGTTTTACAATAGTGTAGTTATTTTTAAAGGATACTAAATGACATACAAATGTATCTTATCACAGTGTTATACAGGTGGAAAGTATATATTGGTAATTTTATTATGTACAGTAATACACACAAACATTGTTATCTTATAAGTTGTATGCATCAATAAATTAACATGATTCACATGATAATTGCATTATTCTTGGGATGTTTATTATGTACAATACACAGTAGACACCAGTACATTGACCCTAGAATGACATCAGTACCCAACACCCTACCCATGTATGTGTATTCAGCTTTAGATCAGAGGTATTTGACCATACTGTCTACATCTTACTTAGTGTGATTAATTAGATTTGTATTGCTGTGGTAACCAATTGGTTACAGTAATGTGAACATCCTAGAGGCAAATTGTGTGTATTGATATCGGTGACCCTACCCGACTATTTATATTCAAGCAATCAATACACACAGGTCAATACGACCCATCCACCCAAGGGGGATAACTCTCTAATTGTCAAAGAATGTAACATATTGACATTGATTGAGTAAGTGCTCAATTGGAGTAGTGTATGTAAATGATATAATCAATATTGACTAAGGTGTCTGCTCAGTCCAATCCAGCTCACATGTACCTGTGTGTGTCTATGGCTATCCCACAGATCATCTGCTGAGATAGGGACAAGCTGGTGATAACACATTGTCACCCAGAGACTGCTGGTGTTTAACGGGTGTCATTGATCTACTAAAGAGCACCCATAATCATAGATAAAATCAAGGTGTGAAATAAAATTGGAAACTAGAAACTAGACCAGCAAATGAATTACTGCTGTGAGCACTGAAGACCTTGATATCTCACTTCCAGCAACCACATGTGTGTCACCAGGGGAGGTGTGTGTAGCTTGGGTAGGGTGGTTACTTCTTACCTTTATTTTGTACTACCCAAGGATGTGGTCAGTAGTACTTAGTTGGGGAGAATTGGTAGAGTGACCACAGCCTAGAGTCCAAAATTTCAGTTCCCATGGTAAATTATATCATTGTCAAGGTGATGTCCACACCGATTCTCACCTACATAATTGCATACATGTCAAGCATCCAACTCAAAAGGCTAACCTCAAAGTGTCTATATTTCATTAACCTTCAAGACTCAAGGAAAAGTAATGATCAGAAAACCATGTCAAATAAACTAAAGCCTATTAGTTGACATAGAGTACAATATGGCAGAGTTATAATAGAGGTCCATTATTTAATGATATTGTGACCTCTAATGATCTACACTTACACCTTGGGACACCGTGTAAAGAGTGACAGTTCTAAATACCAGACAACTACACTTGTATGTTTTTAAGAAGTCTTTGTATCAAAAATTAGCATTACTGTTATAGTGTTTTCAGATATGATTTTGCAATGCTTTAATTGGTTTCTATACGTTAAATGTTTATTGGCAAATCCAGCGGTTATTCAGTGCATTTCTCACAAGAATACGTGTATCCTTGTTTTAGTTTATTGTTTTTAGTGAAACAAAAAATGCTAATGAATGTTAAAAATATTCTCAGATATTTCGATAGCATGATTGTACAATGATTGTTGATGTGAAAGTAGACAAATCTTACTCAATAAATGTATGATCTTGTTAAGTAAAGGTTCACGTCTCTATGATGAAGTAGATTCATACCAATTTTTGATCAATTCAGAGTAAACAGCCAGCACTCAAAATAGCCAAATGTATGGCTTGCTGTATATAGAAGTAGGTAAACATGGACTTTTTTTTGTGTGTGTTTTGTTGTTGTTGATTTGTTTCACGTTAATACCACATAAACCTATCCCTAATCTGTTCCTGGATCTAAATCAATGAACTACTTTGTATAAGAGGTAGTATGTTGACATGAAGCCGTGGCAGCGGCCCCTACCGTTGGCTCACTGCCTCCATCTGGTCTACACATCCACCCAGTTTCCCATCTCCTATTTTATAGATCCTTCAACATTTTGTGAAGAGGAGTTAGAAATTAATTTTGACAAGTAGAGAAGATAGCAGAGCCAGAGTGAATCACATGGCTACTGTGGTCTGCTACAGAGGAAGGTCTACATATCAGGTTACCAGTGTTACAGTGTGTTACAGAGATAGGCATTAGTGATTTACTATATGTACATACCCACTAGGCATTAAGGCAGAGAAACAGGTGACTTTCTAGGTCCAGTAACAGTATTTCCCGTTTAAGGAATTAAGTTGCAAAAAAGTATGTAATAAAAGCGCAATACACTGTAATGTTTGTTACAAGAATATAGACACTGAATAATCGGAATATGAGATATAGGGGAAGGAAACATGTAGATTCCTGAAATTCTAAAACAAAGCAGCAAACATATTACAAAAATGATAGCTTTTGTTTTGCTACTATTATAAAATATAGATGTGTATGGTGGAATGTGATTGTTTCCTACGCTAGTCGAGTGAACCTAGGCTATAAATGAAGTCTTGGAACCCGGATCACAAATTTCTGCTATGGTATATATAAAGTGTATAGAACCATACTTAAATGTATTACCACATGTTTATGTATTGGCACCCTTTAATGAATTACTGCACTTTCATGTATTACCCAAGGAAGTGTAGTGCAAATGACTGTGGGTTATTGACAATGGCTACAATGTTTAGCTGACTGTATTGATATACATTAATATATTGCCATAATTTAATGTTGTTTACAAGTTTGAATGTTATATTGTAATGTATTACCAAACATTAATGCGTTTGATTTAGTTTATTACCAAACTTTAACGTATTTGATTGAATTTATTACCAAACTTTAATGTATTTGATTTAATGTATTACCAAACTTTGATGTATTGCCACTATTTAGTGTATTACAAACATTTATGTATATTTGATTTAATGTATTACCAAACATTAATGTATTTATCATATTACCAAACTTTGATGTGTTTGATTTAATGTATTACCAAATTTGATGTATTGCCACTGTTTAGTGTATTACAAACATTTATGTATTTATCATATTACCAAACTTTGATGTATTTGATTTAATGTATTACCAAACTTTAATGTATTTGATTTAATGTATTACATATCTTTGATATATTGCCACTATTTAATGTATTACCAATATTTGATGTATTGCCACTATTTAATGTATTACCAATCTTTGATGTATTGCCACTATTTAATGTATTACCAATCTTTGATGTATTGCCACTATTTAATGTATTACCAATCTTTGCTGTATTGCCACTATTTAATGTATTACCAATCTTTGCTGTATTGCAACTATTTAATGTATTACCAATCTTTGCTGTATTGCCACTATTTAATGTATTACCCTACTCCTAGAATCACAGATCATATCCCAAAGATCAGCCTGTTGTTATATACACATGTACATGCTGTTAAGACATGAGATGGATCACAATGGCTTCTCCAGGCTGGTACAGACAGTCCTGGCCAATATGCTGGCAACATATTGATTCTCCTTAGTTATCCTCCACTCACAGCCTAGAACAGGAACTTTATTATATTTACCTACAGTTGACTTATATTTGTTTTGTTAGACCACCATAACAGCTGGTTGTATTGAGTTAAACCGTCTTGGGGACCTGTTAAAAATATCTACTCCATATCCATTACATTGTTACATCAATATTTTATCTTAGAATAGGATCTTAATGGCTTTTCTAGTTTATATAGACCAGGCGGGATTCCACTAGTGTTCTATTATAGATGGTATAAAACCATGCATGGCTGCCATTCTTATATATTGATTAATTGATCTGTTTTATTTTTAATTGTAAGGACAGCATTGTTACGCCACAAGCTTCAAACAATTACATGTATAAAGATGTTTACATTTGTATATTGAATTATAAACATTTAATACAAGCCTTGGATAAATGTCCTAAACCTTATCAAAACAGATAGGTCATTTAGGAGATGCCCCACCCTTGTTTACCTTCACACTAATTGATTTGTTGATTGGCTGTTTAACTTGCCTACATGGTAGCTATTAATAAAAAAGGCACCCAAACTTGATACATAGATTGACCAGAGAATATGTTTAGTGTAATTCACTGCTATAAAGCTTGGATACAGAAGTATATGTTTTGCATCTTAAACTTCCTCCTGGAGGAAAACAGAAACTTTCAGGTTGATATTTAATTTTAACAGTCAACAAGGTTAATGATAACAAACACACTCCTGATTAAAAAAAAGCTATCTGATAACTAACACGTCCCTGATTAAAGGAAGCTATCTGATAACTAACACGTCCCTGATTAGAGGAAGCTATCTGATAACTAACACGACCCTGATTAGAGGAAGCTATCTGATAACTTTTACGTCCCTGATTAGAGGACGCTATCTGATAACTAACACGTCCCTGATAATAGGAAGCTATCTGATAACTAACACGTTCCTGACTAGAGGAAGCTATCTGATAACTAACCCGTCCCTGATTAGAGGAAGCTATCTGATACCTAACACATCCCTGATTAAAAAAAACCTATCTGATAACTAACACGTCCCTGAAAGAGGAAGCTATCTGATAACTAACACTTCCCTGATTAGAGGAAGCTATCTGATAACTAACACGCCCCTGATTAGAGGAAGCTATCTGATAACTAACAGGTCCCTGATTAGAGGAAGCTATCTCATAACTAACACGTCCCTGATTAGAGGAAGCTATCTGATAACTACCAGGCTCCTCTAATCAGGGAAGTGTTAGTTATCAGATAATCTGTAATTATTGAAATAATATTATTTCATCTAATAACTAACATGTCCCTGATTAAAATTAAACTAGCTGATAATTAACACATCCCTGATTAAAAAAAAAACTATCTAATAACTAACATGTCCCTGCTTAAAGGAAGCTATCTGATAATCAATCCGTCCCTGATTAAAGGAAGCTATCTGATAAATAACAAGACCCTGATTAGAGGAAACTATCTGATAACTAATACGTCCCTGATTAAAGGAAGCTATCTGATACCTAACACATCCCTGAATAGAGGAAGCTATCTCATAACTAACACGTCCCTGATAAGAGGAAGCTATCTGATAAATAACACGCCCCTGATTAAAAAAAAACTATCTAATAACTAACATGTCCCTGATTAAAATTAAACTATCTGATAATTAACACATCCCTGATTAGAGGAAGCTATCTGATAACTAACACATCCCTGATTAGAGGCAGCTATCTGATAACTAACACGTCCCTGATAAGAGGAAGCTATCTGATAACTAACACGCCCCTGATTAGTGGAAGCTATCTGATAACTAACACGTCCCTGATAAGAGGAAGCTATCTGATAACTAACACGCCCCTGATTAGTGGAAGCTATCTGATAACTAACACGTCCCTGATAAGAGGAAGCTATCTGATAACTAACACGCCCCTGAATAGAGGAAGCTATCTGATAACTAACACGCCCCTGAATAGAGGAAGCTATCTGATAACTAACACAGCCCTGATTAGAGGAAGCTATCTGATAACTAACACGTCCCTGATTAAAGGAAGCTATCTGATAACTAACATGTCCCTGATTAGAAGAAGCTATCTGATAACTAACACGTCCCTGATTAAAGGAAGCTATCTGATAGCTAACACGTCCCTGATTAGAGGAAGCTATCTGATAACTAACACGCCCCTGATTAGAGGAAGCTATCTGATAACTTATACGTCCCTGATTAGAGGACGCTATCTGATAACTAACACGTCCCTGATTAGAGGAAGCTATCTGATAACTAATACGTCCCTGATTAGAGGAAGCTATCTGATAACTAACACATCCCTGATTAAAAAAAACCTATCTGATAACTAACACGACCCTGATTAGAGGAAGCTATCTGATAACTAACACGTCCCTGATTAGAGGAAGCTATCTGATAACTAACACGTCCCTGATTAGAGGAAGCTTTCTCAAACCTTCGACTTGTTTCAATTGCTATTTGTCAATAACCTCAGGATTTATTTCAGTTAAGGAAACACTTTTTTAAAGAGAGCAGGCTAAGGTCTCACATTCTATATCAGTTTTTAAAGTGATTCATTCTAAGGATTTGTTCACATTTGTACCATTATTTACTGGAGGTATTACAATTTTAATAAAACAAATGCTTACCAGTACCGGTAAGTGGATGATAAAACATTTTACCAATGTAACATTATCAGGAAAGAATTATTTTGAAGTAGGTATGTTTCCTGGTACCTTCAAAGTTGTATGTTACAATTTTATCTTGGCTATATATCTAAAAAAAAACACCTATTAAAGGTAAGATATGATGACAAAATTTAGACCAAAATAAATGCATCAACCTCAGGATGTATTCTATGTGTGTGATTAGGTCACATATCTCAGGGTCATACAAGTATATATGAGGGGAAGGACAAAAACAAATCTGTAGCTATGTATTACCAGAGTACCCTGATTGTTTGATATTGTATGTTACAGGACTACCCAGATGGACAAGGGTGTACATGTGACAATAATTACAACCCAGACCCTACTTCTGGGTTGTCTCCCCTTACCATTGTAATTTGGAGCATTCATCCTAGCCAGCATGGTGCTGCTATGTCAACTTGATGGCAGGGGACAGTGGATATTATTGGCCTTTACTTTCATCTCAAGCTGCCTGTTTGAACCAGTAATGACAAGCACATGTAAGTTCACTGCAAGTAATGCAATATCTCTATAGAACCTTGAAGTAATTCAGCCCTGAAATTTCATAATGAACTATTCCAACCTTTGAATTGGAAGAGTTCAAATGTGTATTCAGGTGTACTTAAGAATAGGATTTATTTGTTATTTTAACGTGTTATTTGTTCTTTAATGTTCATTAAAAAAAGACTACTTTTCCAGAAGAGATGAAAAGATTTTTACAAATTTAATATGGAGTATCGCTAGTCCAAGGTTACTCAACTATGTAAAATGTGCCCTTCCTTGCGGCAAAGTGTTGGGGCCCAAAAGTGAAAATAGGGTTAAATCATTGAAAGAATCCTCCTTAAGTGCCATGAAAGGGATTTAACTTATTGTAATATACAGGATCCCTGAACCAAAGAGACTCAATTTCATATTATGCCCAATGGGGCAGATCATTTGGGCCTGTTGGATTAATTCACAATACTCATAGAGAGATTTACCTAATTATGGTATAGAAAGTCCATGGGACGAGGGTTTTCATTTTTTCATACAGGACAGGAGTGTTTCCTATCCTAGCAGATGGGTGGGCAGGACAGAATGGAGGTAATCTTGAAAATATATCTCCTATACAACTGAAGGGATATTAACCCAATTTATAACCTAATAGGAGTAAACTGAAATAATATTATTTCAATAATTACAGATTATTTCGACAAGTATGGTCACTGTGCTTCCACCGATCCTATCGTTATTGACGATGAACAGCACACGATTTTGGCCAAGGGTGGTGAGGCGTACTCCACACTTCAGTGTGACTTGTCCTTCAAGGCTGATCGCAACGACCAGTTGTGTCTGCACTTCATCACCTATAGCGTTGACAACTGTGATGTAGAACTGTTTGTGTACGACAAAGATGCAAGTTCAGGCAGCTATATGGTAAGTTCAGACAGACATGGTAGTTTCAGACAGCCATATGGTAGGTTCAGACAGCCATATGGTAGGTTCAGACAGCTATATGGTAGGTTCAGACAGCCATATAGTAGGTTCAGAAAGCTGTATGGTAGGTTCAGACAACTATATGGTAGGTTCAGACAGACATGGTAGGTTCAGATAGCCATACGGTAGGTTCAGACAGACATATAGTAGTTCAAGACAGCCATATGATAGGTTCAGACAGCTATATGGTAGGTTCAGACAGCCATATGGTAGGTTCAGACAGCTAAATAGTAGGTTCAGATAGCCATATGGTAGGTTCAGACAGCCATATGGTAGGTTCAGAAAGCTATATGGTAGGTTCAGACAACTATATGGTAGGTTCAGACAGACATGGTAGGTTCAGATAGCCATACGGTAGGTTCAGACAGCTAGACGGTAGGTTTAGACAGCTATATTGTAGGGTTAGATAGCTATATGGTAGGTTCAGACAAACATATGGTAGGTTTAGACAGCTAGATGGTAGACTTAGACAGCTATGCGGGAGGTTTAGACAGGCATATGGTGGTAGGTTCAGACAACCATATGGTACGTTTAGACAGCTATATTGTAGGGTTAGATAGCTATATGGTAGGTTTAGACAGCTTTATGGTAGGCTTAGACAGCTATATGGTAGACTAGGTTCAGACAGCTATATGGGAGGGTTAGACAGCTATATGGTAGACTAGGTTCAGACAGCTATATGGGAGGGTTAGACAGCTATATGGTAGGTTTAGGCAGCTATATGGTAGACTTAGACAGCTATACGGTAGGTTCAGACCGCTATACGGTAGGTTTAGACAGCTATATGGGAGGGTTAGACAGCTATATGGTAGGTTTAGGCAGCTATATGGTAGACTTAGAAAGCTATACGGTAGGTTCAGACCGCTATATGGTAGGTTCAGACAAACATATGGTAGGTTTAGACAGCTTTATGGCAGGTTTAGACAGCTATATGGGAGGGTTAGACAGCTATATGGTAGGTTCATACAGCTATATGGTAGGTTTAGGCAGCTATATGGTAGACTTAGACAGCTATGCGGTAGGCTTAGACAGGCATATGGTAGGAGAGTTCTGGCAGAGGTATGGTAATTTCAGACAGCAATATGATGAGCAAGTTCAGGCAACTATATTGTGAATTCAGACAGCCATATAGTAGGTTCAGAAAGCTATATGGTAGATTCAGACAACTATATGGTAGGTTCAGACAGACATGATAGGTTCAGATAGCCATACGGTAGGGTCAGACAGCTATACGGTAGATTTAGTCAGCTATATGGTAGACTTAGACAGTTATACGGTAGGTTCAGACAGCTATAGGGTAGGGTCAGACAGCTATACGGTAGGTCTAGACAGCTATACGGTAGGTTGAGACAGCTATACGGTAGGTTTAGAAAGCTATATTGTAGGTTTAGATAGCTATATGGTAGTTTCAGACAACCATATGGTAGGGTTAGACAGCTATATGGTAGACTAGGTTCAGACAGCTATATGGGAGGGTTAGACAGCTATATGGTAGACTAGGTTCAGACAGCTATATGGGAGGGTTAGACAGCTATATGGTAGGTTCAGACAACTATATGGTAGGGTCAGACAGACATGGTAGGTTCAGATAGCCATACGGTAGGTTCAGACCGCTATACGGTAGGTTTAGACACCTATACGGTAGGTTCAGACAGATATACGGTAGGTTCAGACAGCTATATGGTAGGGTCAGACAGACATGGTAGGTTCAGATAGCCATACGGTAGGTTCAGACCGCTATACGGTAGGTTTAGACAGCTATACGGTAGGTTCAGACAGCTATACGGTAGGTTTAGTCAGCTATATGGTAGACTTAGACAGCTATGCGGTAGGTTTAGACAGGCATATGGTAGGAGAGTTCTGGCAGAGGTATGGTAATTTCAGACAGCAATATGATGAGCAAGTTCAGGCAACTATATTGTGAATTCAGGCATCAAAATTGTTAGTTCTGACTGCTATATGGTGAAATAGTTCGAACAGCTACATGGTGAGTTAAAGCAGCAATAGTTCAGACAGCTATAGTGTTAGTTTAGACAGCTATTTTTAGGTCACCTGAGCTTTAGCTCAAGTGACCTATTGCTATCCGTTTTCGTCCGTCGTCGTCCGTCGTCCGTCGTCCTTTAACATTTTACATTTCAAACTTAAAGTCAAGTTCTGCTGGGCCGATTGAACTGAAAGTTGGTAGGAATGATCGCCTCATGGTCCTGACAAAGTGTTGTTATTTTTCGGGTCGATCAGAAATCCAATATGGCCGCCATGGCCGCCATTTTGAAAAACTATTTCAAACTTAAAGTCAAGTTCTGCTGGGCAGATTGAACTGAAAGTTTGTAGGAATGATCGACTCATGGTCCTGACAAAGTGTTGTTATTTTTCGGGTCGTTCAGAAATCCAATATGGCCGCCATGGCCGCCATTTTGAAAAACTATTTCAAACTTAAAGTCAAGTTCTGCTGGGCAGATTGAACTGAGAGTTTGTAGGAATGATCGACTCATGGTCCTGACAAAGTGTTGTTATTTTTCAGGTCAATCAGAAATCCAATATGGCCACCATGGCCGCCATTTTGAAAACCTATTTCAAACTTAAAGTCAAGTTCTGCTAGGCCGATTGAACTAAAACTTTGTAGGAATGATTGACTCATGGTCCTGACAAAGTGTTGTTATTTTTCGGGTCGATCAGAAATCCAATATGGCCGCCACGGCCGCCATTTTGAAAATAGCTATTTCAAACTTAAAGTCAAGTTCTGCTGGGCCGATTGAACTGAAAGTTGGTAGGAATGATCGACTCATGGTCCTGACAAAGTGTTGTTATTTTTCAGGTCAATCAGAAATCCAATATGGCCACCACAGCCGCTATTTTGTAAATACCTATTCTAAACTTAAAAACAATTTCTAATAGGCCGATCTTATTTAAAATCGGTCTAGGAATGATCAGCTCATGGTCCTGACAAAGTTAAGTTAACATTATACTTAACTATTTTTTACTCAAATTGGTACATATTTCAACAACAAAAATAAATACTGTAGGACTCAGGTGACCGTTAAGGCCCATGGGCCTCTTGTTATGTGTACAAATTGATCTTTTACTGTACAAATATCAAAACGTGTACTGAGATGTATTTTTGTCTGCAGAACAAATTCACATGTGGATCAGATGTCCATAGTGTTTGCAGCTCGGGCCGTTATTTAACACTGTTGTTGAAGAAGAGGAGGCTAAGTTCCAAACAATACAACTTTGAACTCGTTGTCAGAGAAAAGTCGGAGAGTAAGTATAAACTAATTTTAGGGGAGTAGTTGGACAGTACTGTACATATAACTTTCCTGTCAAGGAGATTGACTGGTTGGGCAGTAAATATGAACACTTTGTAGGGAAGAAGTCAGATAGTAGTATGTATTTATTGTCAAGGAGAGGGTGGGTGAATACAGACTTTTTGCTTGGGAGAAGCCTGATAATGAATATGAACTCGCTGTAGGAGAGAAATCAGATGAGAGGTGGATCACAAATACCACTGTTCAATGTATAGTATACATTAAAATTAATTGGTCCAATGGACATTTGTCATACTGTTAGGTCAGCTCCATCAATGTATAGTATACATTAATTGGTCCAATGGACATTTGTCATACTGTTGGGTCAGCTCCATCAGTGTATAGTATACATTAATTGGTCCAATGGACATTTGTCATACTGTTAGGTCAGCTCCATCAATGTATAGTATACATTAATTGGTCCAATGGACATTTGTCATACTGTTAGGTCAGCTCCATCAATGTATAGTATACATTAATTGGTCCAATGGACATTTGTCATACTGTTAGGTCAGCTCCATCAATGTATAGTATACATTAATTGGTCCAATGGACATTTGTCATACTGTTAGGTCAGCTCCATCAAACTGTAGTCGGATGGTGCACTCACTTTTCACCAAGATGACCAGAGTTTGTTTCCCCAATCATATGTGATAAGGTATAGGGTCACCTTCCAACCACACCTGTTTCCTCCGTGTACTCCAGTTTCCTCCCACATTCAGATCCTCCTTCTCGGTCAGGAGGAGTTATTTATACGTGTTGAAAAAAAAAGTTTCCTAGGTGTTGTAAAATAAATAAAGTTGAATATATAATGCTAACAGATGCATAGAATAAAATTACCTCGGTTGTGTCTCCTTATCCCAGCTGTACTTCAGAGAACCACAGCTACCGCTATGTTATTTGCAAATCCATCATTTTTGTACTTATTTGAACACAATATGCAAATAACATGAGATGAAGAAAAAATATGTATGCATTGCAAAATCAACTTGATGTAATTTTGATGCAGATTATTATCTTAGTATACCACAATAATCCTACCAATACCATTGAAATATACAGTACATATATTTAGTATGATTTCTCTTCAGGTGATGTGTTCATGGACGGCCTGGATGCGTTTGTGCTGTCCATAGGTCTTATCATTGGGATCATTGTGGGTGTGGTGTGTCTGATAGCCGTGTTGGCCGTTATCGTTGTTTGTTGTTGTTGTAAGAGGAAGGCTAGTCAGGGGCGAGTCTATCGTAAAGCACCAAAGGCAGCCTCTGAGGGTGAACCATTCCAGAGAAACGTCAACCACCACCCTGTACAGCCATCAGGTAAGCTATCCTCCTAACTATAGCACATAACATCACTTCTGGCAGTGTGTTAGCCCAAGGTCACAAAACATAACATCACTTCTGGGAGTGTGTCAGCCCAAGGTCACAAAACATAACATCACTTCTGGGAGTGTGTCATCCCAAGGTCACAAAACATAACATCACTTCTGGCAGTGTGTAATCCCCAGGTCGTAACACATAGCATCACTACTGGCAGTGTGTAAGCCCCAGATCATAACACATCGCATCACTTCGCGCAGTGTATAAGCACCAAGTCGTGACAAACAGCATCACTTCTGGCAGTGTGTTAGCCCCAGGTCATAACACACAGCATCACTACTGGCAGTGTGTAATCCCCAGGTCGTAACACATAGCATCACTTCTGACAGTGTGTAATCCCCAGGTCGTAACACATAGCATCACTTCTGGCAGTGTGTAAGCACCAGGTCGTAACACACAGCATCACTCCTGGCAGTGTGTAAGCCCCAGGTCGTAACACATAACATCACTACTGGCAGTGTGTAAGCCCCAGGTCGTAACACACAGCATCACTTCTGGCAGTGTGTAAGCCCCAGGTCATAACACATAGCATCACTTCTGACAGTGTGTTAGCCCCAGGTCATAACACATAGCATCACTACTGGCAGTGTGTAAGTCCCAGGTCGTAACACATGTCATCACTTCTTGGAGTGTGTCAGCCCAAGGTCGTAACACACAGCATCACTTCTGGCAGTGTGTAATCCCCAGGTTGTAACACATAGCATCACTACTGGCAGTGTGTAAGCCCCAGGTCGTAACACACAGCCCCACTACTGGGAGTGTGTTAGCCCCAGGTCGTAACACATAGCATCACTTCTGACAGTGTGTAATCCCCAGGTCGTAACACATAGCATCACTTCTGGGAGTGTGTTAGCCCCAGGTCGTAACACACAGCATCACTACTGGCAGTGTGTAAGCCCCAGGTCGTAACACATAGCATCACTACTGGCAGTGTGTAAGCCCCAGGTCATAACACATCGCATCACTTCTGGCAGTGTATAAGCACCAAGTCGTGACAAACAGCATCACTTCTGGCAGGGTGTTAGCCCCAGGTCATAACACATAGCATCGCTTCTGGCAGTGTGTTAGCCCCAGGTCATAACACATAGTATCACTTCTGGCAGTGTGTTAGCCCCAGGTCATAACACATAGCATCACTTCTGACAGTGTGTAATCCCCAGGTCGTAACACATAGCATCACTTCTGGGAGTGTGTTAGCCCCAGGTCGTAACACACAGCATCACTACTGGCAGTGTGTAAGCCCCAGGTCGTAACCCATAGCATCACTTCTGACAGTGTGTAATCCCCAGGTCGTAACACATAGCATCACTACTAGCAGTGTGTTAGCCCCAGGGCGTAACACATAACATCACTACTGGCAGTGTGTTAGCCCCAGGTCGTAACACATAACATCACTACTGGCAGTGTGTTAGCCTCAGGTCGTAACACATAGCATCACTACTGGCAGTGTGTTAGCCCCAGGTCGTAACACACAGCATCACTTCTGGCAGTGTGTAAGCCCCAGGTTGTAACACACAGCATCGCTTCTGGCAGTGTGTAAGCCCCAGGTCGTAACACACAGTATCACTTATGGCAGTGTGTAAGCCCCAGGTTGTAACACACAGCATCGCTTCTGGCAGTGTGTAAGCCCCAGGTCCTAACACACAGCATCACTACTGGCAGTGTGTTAGCCCCAGGTCGTAACACATAACATCACTACTGGCAGTGTGTAAGCCCCAGGTTGTAACACACAGCATCGCTTCTGGCAGTGTGTAAGCCCCAGGTCGTAACACACAGCATCACTAGTGGCAGTGTGTAAGCCCCAGGTCGTAACACAGGTCGTAACACATAGCATCACTACTGGCAGTGTGTAAGCCCCAGGTCGGAACACACAGCATCACTAGTGGCAGTGTGTAAGCCCCAGGTCGTAACACAGGTCGTAACACATAGCATCACTACTGGCAGTGTGTAAGCCCAAGGTCGTAACACACAGCATCACTACTGGCAGGGTGTTAGCCCCAGGTCGTCGCACATAACATCACTCCTGGCAGTGTGTTAGCCCCAGGTCGTAACACATAGCATCACTTCTGGCAGTGTGTAATCCCCAGGTCGTAACACATAGCATCACTTCTGGGAGTGTGTCAGCCCCAGGTCGTAACACACAGCATCACTACTGGCAGGGTGTTAGCCCCAGGTCGTCGCACATAACATCACTACTGGCAGTGTGTTAGCCTCAGGTCGTAACACATAACATCACTACTGGCAGTGTGTGAGCCCCAGGTCGTAACAAATAACATCACTACTGGCAGTGTGTAAGCCCCAGGGCGTAACACACAGCATCACTACTGGCAGTGTGTAAGCCCCAGGTCGTAACACACAGCATCACGTCTGGCAGTGTGTTAGCCCCAGGTCGTCGCATATAACATCACTACTGACAGTGTGTTAGCCCCAGGTCGTCGCACATAACATCACTACTGGCAGTGTGTTAGCCCCAGGTCGTCGCACATAGCATCACTAGTGGCAGTGTGTTAGCCCCAGATCGTCGCACATAACATCACTACTGAGAGTGTGTAAGCCCTAAGTCATAAGCACCACAGTTACAAACTTCAGAAAGGATGTTCGGGAGAGGGTGTTAGTTATCTTATGGCTTTTTTATTCTTTGATTAAGCAAGGTATAAATTCTGATTTTTAGGGCTCTGCATCAGAGATGCCCTATAGTAACCACTGGGTCCATCAGTCTGTCCCCACTTTCCTTTCCCTATATTTTCTCAGAATCCAAAAAAAACAACTAGTATTATATAAATAAGTAGATAAGAAGTCACCCTTCTATACAAAAGATGAGTAGTCTCCCTTCTATATAAGAGGTGTTTAGTCTGCCTTTCAAACATTTGGCTAGTACTGCCCATACAATACACACAGTACTTATAGGTAGTCTCCCTTAGCTACTTTCTGCTATGAAGTACCAGGAAGTATGTACTACGGTACAGATTTATTATCATGTACTACTTATCATATATAAAGACATAATATTAATAGTAATCGTATTTGGAGGCGTTTTCATTTATGACCCTGATTAATATTGATTGCCATTTAAATTGGGTTTTTTTGAATTTCAGCACCCCCACTTCAGGAGAGTAACCTACCTCCTCCATCAGCCATGATACTCCCCCATGACATCCACCAAGGATATGCCCAGCCTTTCCCTCTGGAACCTCCACCAGCCTATACCCCAGTCCCTCCTTTGGAAAGTCAGGCCCCAGCGATTGTCAAAACATGATGATATCAAATTTTGTGATCTACTTATATAAGTATGATGTCATCAACTCCTTGAGTCATCAAAACATTGATGTCATCAAAATCTGCAGTCACCTAAACATGATGTTATCGAATTCCAGACTTAATAATGTCATTAAATAGAGGCATCTCAAAACAGTGTCATCAAAGATATTGGCCATAAAAAACATGGTGATATCAAAACTGATATCAAAACTATCTAAATACCATGTCATAAAATCCAGGCATGATCAAAATATGTCTTAAAATTCTTGTGTTATGAAAACAAGAGGCCATCAATAATTCAAGATGTTAAAAAATGGTGTCATCAGATGCTGTGGTCATCTCAATATGATGTCATCAAATGCTGTGGTCATCTAAACATATCATGTCATGCTGTGGTCATCTAAATATAATGTCATCAAATGCTGTGGTCATCTAAACATGATGTCATCAAATGCTGTTGCCATCAAATTCTGGCATTAGAATATGAAGGCATCTTACCTGATGTCAAAAATGTTGGCATTGAGCAGATCTGATTTTTCACTGGAAGAGATGTATTGATTTCAGTGTGTAAGAACTTCTAATTGCATGATTGGTGTTTTTTTCTGTGATCTTGAATTGTGATATTTAAAGTGTCTGCATTATTCTGACAAATGTCATAAAAAGAAGTTTGATTAACCCTGAAGTATTTTTGTATGAACGTGGTAGTTTAACTTCAAATCATGCCAAATCCAGCGGATGTGGAGAATATCTTGAAGTGTTTCATTAATTGTGAATCAAATATTGATTAAGATCTTGAAGTGTATAAAGGGCAATACAGTTTACATGTACAAGTTAAAAGGTATTGTCTCCCCTTTATCAGTAGCTAGGAATAACATCAAATACTAGTTTAACATTTCAAAATATTATGTTTGCCGTTATTTTATTTTATTTAAATGCCTATATAAAGATCGCCCGTGAAAAGTTATAAAACTATATAATTTATTACAGTTTGATAGGTAATAATGGGTAAATCAAGAAAATATATTTATTAAATGTATTGATAGATTAGTTATTTAAAATGTATTTAAACCTAATTGCCATAGATGATCTAGTGCCATGACCATGTGTCATTAGTTATGTGTCATCACCTGTATTCTCAAAGATGAGGTCTGTCAATATACATCGTGGAGGTATGTTTTTTGTGTCTCATTTGCATAATCTATAGTGGTATCGGTTATAATTTTTGTAATTGTGATTTAATCAGTTTGCTGGTCAAAATATGTCTCGATATCGAAAAACAATTGTTATGGAATATTTTTTTTCTAATGTCATATCAGAGTTAGCTTGATTTTTCCATATCATTTTTACAGTGACGAAGGCTTATGTGCATTATTTGTTGTTAAGAAAGTATACCTTTTGAAATTATGTTGGGTTATCTGCCCTTGGTAATTCATTAAAAATATTGCTGGTTTTTAGCAATATTAAAAGTTGTCATATCTACAAGCATATCAGGATAATGTTAATATCTATCAAAATTACAACAAAAGAAAAACGAAGACAACCTTAATTTATCCGTATCCGTTTAAATCTTAGATGTTCGTAGGAAGGACAGAGACTCTTTATCGGACAAGTTTTCACCAGGACAGTTAAAATTGCTTGGAAACAAAAGTTCCATAGGTAGCCATGCTTTAGAATTTCTAATTATACACCTTGCTTGTGTGGATAGAACAGTTAGCTACATGCTGGTAGGTAAACCACACGTGGAAAAACATTCAATTTGTATTATATCAAATATTATCTGTACTATGCGAGCGAGATGGCAGTCCATGACATACACTACTGATGCGTTTCACCAACACCTCAGTAGTGATAAGTGGAATTGGGACCAGTATTATTTACAACTACCTTTATTTCTTTTTATTGTTGATATACCTGACAGTAACATGTTTCATCATCGTTTATTTTTTATTTTCAATATTATCAGTGTATGGATCGAGATCTGTGCACTACAATTCCTGTCTGTTCATTGACCAATATCTTATTCAGTTAACACACTGTGCTCCTGTAGTTTACATTTCTGATAGTAAATACATATTTTGAGTATTGTCAACAATAGAATGTATAGTTGTCGTATTTGGCATGTCCCCAGGTATCTTACTCGAGTGTTACCATTCATTTTCCTGATGTCAAAATCTTGAACCCAGTCGAAAGTCAGTCATTGTGGTCAAGGTCAAGGTCAAAAAATTGACATAATGATGGGAAATAAGATTTGTCTCATTTGCAGCATCCAGACAGGTTTTCATCAACTGTTTCACTTCACCCAAGTGTTCCTGGCATGTCTCTGGAGCAGAGTTGAAATCCATGGTTAAACTTCAAAGGTCAAGGTCATAGCTACAGACCATTGACATGATGATTGAAATGATATTTGTCTTGTCTGCAGGTTCCTGGTGATAACTTTCTGCTAAATTTCAAATATTTTTGACATCAATCTCACGAAACCAGATGATAGTCAAGGTCATGCATTGCATTACTGCTTAATATAGTTTCTCAAGATCTGTTGACGGTCAAGGTCGTACATCTATGGTCAAGGTTACAGCTTCAGAAACAGTTTGATGATTGGAAAATAATTTTCAACCCAATTTCATAAAACCTGTCTTGTATTTCTGAACACAAGACTGCATTGTTCTTAATTTTCAGGAAATGCAGTGAAAGAAATTCTAAAAATAAATGCCTGAACTGGTTTGAATATGGACTTATAAACACCAAGATACAACATTATTGGAAAAACAAGTGATATCGCAGCAATATCATACTGTTAACATACATTCTTTGTTATTCGACATTATGTTATGGTATATAATCAACATTTGTGAAAATCTGGGAGGAATTATGTTTACTCCTGTTATTTTTTATTTTATTCAATTACTGGGTTAAGCCAGGTTGTATTTAATATTCTGTTTATTTATTATTTTTACCAATGATGTGTTATTTAACTTCAGTGCAATATTTTCGTGTTTGTTAATTTAATATTTTATTGTTTTGTTAGTCGTCTTATTTAAAACTTTATTTATAGAATTTAATTAAGTAAACCGTCCTATTTTGTGTAATATTCATACATATTTATTTTTTGTTGTGAAAAAAAATCATATTTTGCCATCATCTTTCGTGTTACATGTACATGTCATTGTCAAGTATATTTACTATCAGTATAACATAATGGGAACAATAAAACTGTATCCAAACATATCTGTACCGACTTTTTAGTTATTTTAAATTCTGAAAATCCCTGATGCATTGGATCCGAATCCTTTATCAAAATATCTGATGTTGTTATATATTGATGATTAAACCTAATATTGTATACAATTTATAAGGTGTTAATGTGACTGCACAGTTAAGTTGGGAGTTCCAAATTTCAATCTAACTGTATACCATAAATAGACATAAAATTTACCATGAAGGCAAACCGTCAGTATTTAACTATGAAACAAAACCAAAATTCAGCATATTGTAACAAAAAAAACCCACAAATACCAGAATACAGGTCATAGTTATTGATTTTATTGACTGAACAGATGAGAACTAGCCATGCAGTGATACAGACTGCAAATGATACAAGCCAGCTTGTTCCTTGTTTAACATAACCCTGTGAGGCACAGACTTGCAAGCTCCCGTCGCACCACGTCCTTGTACCCTGCACGCCTACCATCCTCTTACACATGTACAATATAGCCACTAACTATACACAACTAGAATGGCAGAATACCCCACAAGGTCATCAGTTTGAACAAATGGTCCAAATGTGAAGGGAACAAGGCAGTAGGAGGGACATGAATAAGCAAAACATAACTGTTGACGCTACTGATAACGTGAGGATTGAATTCAACCCAGTGTGGACTTGACTATTGACAAATTGCTAGTTCTTAGCCTGGAAAAGCAATAATTACAACCAATTTGTTACCAATGTACATGGTAAAATTTGTCATGTAATGTTTACATTCCAAGTAAAGTTGCCTTCTCTAGTTTTACCTGGTACAAGTATCTTTAAAGAAAGTGCACACACAAACTCAACACATCGCTTTTGGCAAATATAATAGTGTTCAAAAAAGATGAAATAGTTACATTACCTTTAACATAGACCACTTGCGCGACTTGGAAATTACTTTTTTTTTTACATTTTAAATTTGAACCATAAAATGAAAACAATATTACAAACAGCAATGACAATAGACTACTATGACTTTATTTCTGTGCCTCACATATGTATACCAATAACATATGCATTGTTGTGTTAAAAGGAATACTCTACTAAAATGGTAACGGCTATAAATGATCCACAGTTACCCATACCTCACACGTCCAGCCTTTCTGTCTATTATGTACATACTTCTTGTATCACAACGACATTCATGAGTTACATCTAGCAAACAAATGGATGGATAAATAGTGTATTTGCCAGTGGAATGCTGACTATTTTTGAACTCGCTGATTTTTCACATAATTGCTTTCTCCCGACAGCTGATGAAAAATAGTTGTATAGTATACAAGAATATGAAGGACAAGTTAACCAATATTTGGGGAAAATGAAGATTAGAGATAATCCTCTCATCATAATAGCTCTTATGGTGCACTATAAAACATGACTTATAGGTTTCCTGTAATACTATGTACATCACCAATTTACAACTTAATATGCAAACATAAATATTGAAGGATTTATATAAATATCATCCAAGAAATTATTAGCAAAAACAAAGACGTTGTACTTTCTGGATTCCCATCCAAACAGTAATTTTGTTTAAAATCTGAATTCTGAAACGATCACGTTTCAGTCACATTCACATCGACACCTCAATCAAGCACATTAACTTACCACAAATACCCAGCACATCTCTGGACAGTCACAGCACTGATTACACAACGTACAATTATTTAAAAAAAAAAATCTACATAATTTTACCCAGATATTTGAAATTGACAAATAGGTTTTTGACTTACACTTACACAAAAAAGAACAATATAGTAAATGATATTAAGATATCCAAGTGTAAATATCACCAATCAAGTGTAAACCATTAAAGCTTCATTTTTACAGTTTCTAAAGGAATTTAAAAGGAAGTTCAAAAGATCCAGGAAAATAAATGTGCCTACATAATGAACACAAAAATGTCTTTACCATCAAATTTTGTTATTTTGTTGTTCTAGTAGGGATTCGTGTTTTTGTCTTGCCTAATCATGTAGTGCATTGTTTTGATCCCTATCCTAGCCCCACATCACCCACACCACCCCTTCGTGACCCCCAACGTACACCTCTAAAATTAATCAGTATCTCATGATATGACAGATTACGATGGTCTGTGTCTTGCACCTACATAACAAATGCTCTTTGTTTGTTCTCTCCTGCACTTAAAACATACCACCATAATTTACTGAAAGACGTATAGTTGGTCTTCTTTCAAATGTCATCAAACGATGGCAATAATGAGTAAATTAGAAATACATATATCAATTTACATGTATTGGAAATTTCAAATAGTGTGTCCTGGTGACTTAGAAAGCTTTCAAGTTAACAGCAGCCACCACCGGAGGGCTTCACTGGTGTGCTCGGGTTTATTTTCACATTGGTTTTGTTGTCCCCACAAGTTGTAACTGGGCCCATCCTGTTCTTTATCTCTGCTGCCATCGTCATGAAAGCCTGTTCCACATTTGTAGCGTTTTTAGCACTGGTTTCTAAGAAAGGGATTCTTAACTGGTCTGCATATTCCTGAAAATAAACAAGACAATAAATTATACAAGGGGAAGTAACTCCTATATATTTGAAATACTGTATTTTGTAATAGCAAAAATCACTTACAACATCATATTGTAGTGAATTAAACAATTAAGCAGTCCAATATTTGATGTCCTGTATTTTTAATAGCAAAATTACTTAAAACCTCATACTGTATGGTGGATCCTGCTTATGAAATTCTATTTTCCAAAGAAAAATATTATACTGGTATTAAAGTGGGCTTCACATTTGAACATCTTATAATATTAAATGGAATATTATACTATGACATATGTAAATAAGGGGTATCCACTTTACTTTTAGTTACAAGTATATGCTGTTAGCCAATGTACAATAAATCTTCTTAAAATAACTGACCATGATCTGCCCTAACATATTCAACATATATAACGCCTTAAAATGTCCCCCCATACAATACCCTTTACATAATTTAACTAACACTCATAAAACAAAACATTATTCTTGATAGTAAACTTATCACATATACATGACACTAAATCATAAATATACGACTGTCTTACCTTTGCTGTAGTGTAATCAACCACTTTCTTCGTTTCCAAGTCAGATTTGTTTCCTACCAATAATTTGTTAACATTTTCACTAGCATATCTGTCAATTTCATGTAGCCACTGCTTCACATTGTTAAAAGATTCCTAAAAGCAAAACAAAGAAAAGACAAATTAAGTATGTACACCAAAACCATTCAACTCTTTAGGATAACAAAATATCTACGCTATATAGAGGACATGTCCCAGCAATTACTATTAGTCATACATGGTATTCTCCCTAGGATTTTTTTGATGCCACATTGTACAGACCTTTTTACATATACTGGTATACAGAGCCAAATCACTCCATACTATTTCACATCACAACACAAAAAGTTACAAAAATAAAATAAACTCAAAGGACTATGTATGGTTTGGGCCTGTTTTGGCCCCCAATGCAAATGCATCAAAATTCAAAACCATTAAATGAACTTTGAAATGACCGTTTCTTTAATTTCAAATACTTCTTAAATACTATTATGAAAATATTTATTCAGTGAATATTCTGATATTTTGCCTAGTTTTTCTCCTGGAAACTATAGAGCGCATGCTTGAACAAACTTAATATCAAAGGATAATGTGTAGCCGCCTGTAATACATCTTTAGGAGAAATATTAAGATTGTACAAGAGTGCGCTCTATGGTAGCTAAGAGAACAAGAGTACCTTGGGGCGGAACAATATACTCCCGTCGAATGCTATATAGTGTTATATACTTTCTTACATTGAATTAAGATCTGCATCATTCAAAGAGTGGTTAGTCGACATGCTATAAAAATGTAGGAGAAAATCTAAAATCTAAAATAATCAAAAACTAAAATGAACAAAGGACAATTACTTTTGCAAAAATTATCGAACCAAAATTCTTTTCAGGGAAACACAACAACATATGATGATTATTTAGCCTACCAAGTTTCAAAGAAATCTGTCAAAGAATGTAGGAGAAGATCTCCGGACAAAAAATCAAATACTGAAATGAACAAAGGGCAATAACTTTTGCATAAATAGTCGCATCAAAATTCTTTTAAGGGAAACACAACTTCATATTACAATTATAATGTATACCAAGTTTCAAAGAGATCTGTTGAAAAATGTAGGAGTAGATTGCCGGACAAAAATCAAATACTGAAATGAACAAAGGGCAATAACTTCAGAAAAAATTGTTGAATGAAAATTCTTTTAAGGTGGCTCCACACTTTCGCAATTAACCAGCAAAATTCGTTGAAACTTTCATATAATGGTTATGCAACTATGTAGAGTTAATTTTATGAAAATCTAAACATTCCGATAGTTTGGGGACTTTTTTGGAAAAA